TGCAGCTTTGCTCCAGATAAAGACATGGGGATTAGCAGATTTGGCTGAATATCTCAGCAACATATGAGATGTAAACCTCCATTCCTATTCACAGTCACTCTGTACCTGTCTCTTCCATCTTTTATTTTTCTTTTCTTAACCTCATACCTAATAAAGGTCAGACTTGTCCAGCAATCAGAAAATCTCCCCTTGCAAATTGAGCTAAGAAAACAGGCCATGTAAGAGTGATACAGTGGAGCAAGATTTGCATGTGCTGAGCATGTGGTCTGATTCCTTTACAGCCCACATGTATCAGAATCGCTGAGTCACAGCCTGAAGCAGTTATTGGGCACCTGGTAGGAAGGTAAGGCCAACCCAGGGGAGCTCAGGTGTATGCAATGTACCTGAGTGACCAGAAGGGTTGGAGCCAGGATCCACCCGTTCCCAGAGCTCATTTAAGGGTTGGCAGTGGAGGTGATGGTACCTCTTTAGAGATCCTTGTCTACTGGAGATCTTCTAAAGGTAAGCAGATTTTCTTCTTTTGCTTCTGTGTCCATGGCTGCTGCATTAAGCCTTATTCTCATTTACTGCAGCCTGGGGTTGTGCTACCCCACTTCTATCACTGGACTTTCCATCACGTTATAGCATTATACCACGAGTAGAAATATTGCAAGCTGATTTTTCCAGCAAGTGAGCTGTGAACATCAGAAGCAGCATTTTCTTATCTCTTGTGCTTTTTTTGTATTCTCCCCTCTGCCTTCTCTATTTGTGTACATTTGTGTTGGTATTTTTATGATTACTATTCATCTTAAGAACAGGATTTGACTCTAACAATAAAGCTTCAGATCTGCCACCTAGGACTAGCTCCTTCTTCCCCAACAAGGTCACTTAATACCATCTGAAAGAGTGACAAGCAAGTGATTTTTTCTTTTTCCTCCTTTTAAAGGACTCTACAGCTAAAGAAGTGTAAAAAGGGGGGGGGGGGAGGGGGGAAAGTAAAGGAAAGACACACTCCAGTTCTAACACCTGAACTGCAGTATTCTGTTTCTGGTTACCTTAAAGTATATGCTGCATGTTCATTTGTGCAGAGATTTCCTAGCCTCAGCAACCCAATCTTGGGGCTTTGTATCCACCCGTTCAGTGCCAAGATCCCCACCAGGCCTCTAAGAAAAAGGGCAGAGGGAGAGCTGTGTTATAGCAGAAGAAAAAGTAGGAGGAATAAAGGGCCAAAGTATCTTAAATCAACTGAGCAAGGACTATTGGGCATGTGCTGGCAGAGCCTCAACTCATCATCTCATCATCCTGTTCCTGGCTCAAGGTAGAAGAGGCAAATAATACACTTCCATAGGCAGAAATGTCTTTTTGAGCAGAGCCACAAGTGAAAACCACATGTTTCCCAAACAACTCTGTTGCATCTCCAACTGAATGCAGTGCAGCCAGGACTTCCATTTCTACACTATTATCCAAAAAGTTGTCTTCTAAAAAAAAAAAGAAAAAAAAGGACACAAAGAACAGACTAGCTCAGACCTCGGGCCAGTCCCTCAGCTGGTATGGATTAGTCAAGCTCCTTCAATACAATTAGAGTCACTGGCTCCAACTGAAAAGCTACTGTAGAAAAATGGAAGATTCAGAAGTCAATGTCAGGGTCCAGATTTTAAATCCCCTTCCCAGCCAAGCTTCCAGATGGCACCAATTGCCTTGGACAACCTAGAAAACGCAGCCAGATTTCTCGAGACCTCCTGTTTTTAGGCACTGGATGGTGGTTGAGCACAGGGAAGAACTTGACATCTCTTATTTCAAGAAAGTGGAGGAAGAAAAAAGATGAAGACATTTTGCTATTGCTGTGGCTTCCAGATCGTGACCAACATTAAACCAGTCCCTAATTTGAATTAGAGGGCTCTTGTCATCAGCCCTTTCCTCTCTCCTATGATAAAGACATGAGAAGAGAATTGCCAAAGCTAGTGGAAGGGCTGACAATCTTCATTAAAAAAGTCTTAGAATGCAAAGCTTTAAGAGGAAGCACAACTTAGGAACCATAAATAAAATCCATTACCAAAACAAGATATTTGCATGTTTTTTCCAAGTATTTCACTTGGTCTGAATGGGTTTATTTTTCCTTCAGTGCTGTGTGTGCTGCTGACCATCTTGTGGTGAGAGACCAGCTAGGGCAACTGTCATAGTGTCATGAAGAAGTGGGGGATGGGCCCATAGAGCAGGGGAGCTCATCTATCTTCAGCTGAAAACTCCCTTTAAGATCAACCCTTTCTGAAACTCAGCTTGGTAACTTATCCAAATCTCCTCCCAGCAGATAAGACCACACAGGATCTAACCTGCATATCACGTTATCTTGACAAAAGCCAGTGCCAAATGCTTTGGAAGATGATGCAGACAAACAAGCAGGAAAAGTTTCTGTGATGGGCAGATAGAGGATAATCTAATCTCTCCCAAGCGACTCTTCACCTTCACCCCTAAACTCACCTCCCTTTAACTTGCTTCAGTCCAGTTCACTGCCTGCTCCTTCAAAAGAAACGATCTTGTAGGCATCATGCAAAACAGTGGATGTAGCACATGGACATGTTCTGTAATTGACAGAAATGCCATGAAGATGTCTGATGCTCAGCTTCCACTGAAATGTGGGAATTGCTTCTCAATCACTTAAAAATGTTTAATTTCTGGCAGAAAGGAAATCATTAAGTTGATCTTCCTTCAGTACCTCTGTAATTTTTTTCTGAGCACCTGCTGTATCTCCAGCCTTAAGACCCTCTTGAAAAACTCAGTGCAGTATTACTCACATCCTCATAAGTCTCCAGAATCAAAAGGACCAAAGCCACAGCACAAAGACACCAATTCCATCCTCACAAGGGTTATGCAAAGTCCCCTTCTGTTGTTGAATAAACCTCACAGCTATGTTTCATAGTAGAGCACAAATCTATTTACATATTTTGAAGCACGTTGGGAGGTCGTTTTCTGACAAAACAAAGACAGTTTAAGGCGTATTTGCTGTCTGTTTCCGCATGTTAAGAAAAATTTTGATTACAAGTGGTAATTAATTGATCACATACAGAGAGCGTGCTTTGGAATTGCTGTGAATGAAATTGCATTGAAAACATCCTAACAAGAACATCCTCAAATATTTGAAAACAGGCAGAGCTGTACAATGAATGCTGAATGTCATTCAAAGCTGATAATAACCATAATTCAATGCCAGTAAACAAATAAACAAAACCTTTTGGGCTAACAATTACTGAAAGAGTTTTAAATTACTGATTACTATCATAATATCTGTAATGGAGAACAGCTGAATTTCTGCATGCCGTGAAGAGCCTGCCGAAGTAGCAAGGAATGTTTTGTACATGGATGATTTACCTTCTTTTGTGGTGCAGGATGAAATCAAAAACTATATCATTCCTATTAGGTATGAATGTAAGAGCAAGGGTCTGTCAGTGTCACAAACTTTATTTTCCTCAGTTGCCAAGGAATAAGCCCATATTTCCCTATGTCATCTTTCTGAAGCGCTTATAGTTCAGTTCACATTAACAAAATGGAAAATTCCCAAAGGTAAATGGAAACAAACAATCCACAGCTGAAAAAGAACAAATTAAATTGAAACAAAGAAACCCCCGGAGGTAACACAAGAACAATCAGAGACAACACTGGGCAACTAGGCAACCAAAGCAACTGTTTTAAATGCCAACATTTTCCCTGAGCTCTCTGCTAAGAGCTGAGGCAATGCTTCTGCTCCTCATACATGGGAGAACCTGGCTCGTGGTTTTCCTCTTCCTTAAACAAGATTTCCTACCTCTTGGAAAGAGAGTGCAGCTGGGAGAGCAGCTGTGGGACAGAGGAGGCACAGAGTATATCAGGGCTTGCTTGAAGCAGCAAAATCCCAGAGCTTGTGGGAAGGGCTCTTTGACAGCTGCCCCCTGAGCAGCTTAGGGCTGTAAGACCCCAGATTCATACCGTTGTGGAAAGGAAAGAGAGAAAACAAAGAGACGGCCACCTAGATTCAATCCCTTGCTCATAAGTAACTGTACTGCAGTAGCTCAAGGCTGTATTTGCAGGCTTAGCTCTGGCAAGAGTACAACACAGAACACACGTGCTGTGTATCAGGGTCAAGGCTGCAGGCAAAGGGATCATTGATTGCCTACAACTCCCTTGGGTCCAGTGCCCAGCTACTCAGAGAGAAGCACTTAGAACCTGCCCTACCACAGTCACCAAGTTTTGTTTCAGTTACACTGCTATCTAGAACAAGACTTAGATACTTCAGATCACACTCTCAGGGAGAGATGGAGAGGTTACAGAATGAAATAAAGTCACTTCTTTGCCTTCTCAGCTATTTAGTCCAGCCGGATTTCTGTAGAGGTAGGAAAAGGGTACCTATGGGAAGGAAAGACTTTTACCAGTCCCCTATTTTCCTCTAGTTTGCTTCACAGCAGTTCTTGTTGAGAAACCGTAATTCAGAGCTCTCTTAAAATTATATTAATGAATTTTAAAAATAAGTCAATCCAACATCACAGGAGAGCAGGCTAACAGTTCACTTAAATAAACTAGGTATTTTCAGATCAACTGGGCTTGATGAATATCACCTGACGGTAATGAAGGAATTAACTGTAGCTGAGGTTTTGAAGGAAAAGAAAAGAGAGGATATTTTTGTTGCTTCTTTACAAAGAAGTGTGTTATTCTAAACCTGCTAGGAAAAAAAAAATCCTTAAAGAAATAATAGTCTGAAGACAACAAGGAAGTAAGTACTAGTCAGCATACACCTTTTCCAAGAACAGACATTATAGAACTCATAACATTTCCTTAAATACTATACATGTATACACTAAGTATGATATGCCATGACTTCAGCAAACATTTGATTGTGAAATTTTCATAACCAAATCAGTAAGACGTGGCCTTGATATAACTGTTCTGGACTAAGTGTAAAATGATTTCTTAAAACCATTCCCATAAAGGCATTCCTTATAAACAATCTTGAGTTTTAACCCTGTTCTCTCACAAAAAGACATTTAAGTCCCTGCTGCTTAGGGTATTGTAGTGGAAATACTGAGTGATGGAGCACCTGGTGGGAAGGTAGGGCCAACCCAGGGGAGCTCAGGTGTATGCAATGTACCTGAGTGACCAGAAGGGCTGGAATCAGGATCCACCCGTACCCAGACCTCATTTAAGGGTTGGCAGTGGCAGCAAGGGGATCTTGCTGGAGATCCCTGACTATTAGAGACCTTCTAAAGGTAAGCAGTTTTCCTTCCTTTGTTTCTGTTATTTACAGCTTTACAGCTTCTGTATTTTGGCTTGTTTTATTTTGCTGTAGGCTGGTGTTGTGCTACCTCCCTTCTATCACTGAACTTTCCATCACTTTATAGTATTACAGTTATCTTGGATAAGGTCTCACTTTTTCACAGCAACTGGACATCAAATGAATAAAACCAAGCTAAGAAGCCATAACTCTTCACTCTCAATAACTTGAGGAGAATCATAGAATCATCACCAAATCATAGAATGGTTTAGGCTGGAAGGGATGCTGGAGATCATCTAGTTCCAAACCTTTGTTATAAGCAAAAACATTTTCTTCCCCTAGGTCAGGCTGCCTATCTAGCCTGGCCTTGAACACCTCCAGGGATGGGGGGATCCATAACTTTTCTGGGCAGTCAGTGCTGTGCTACTCTCCAAGAAAATAATTTCTTTTAACATCTAATCTAAATCTCCTCTCTTCCTTGTTTATGTTACCCTCTCTTTAATGTTTAAAGATATTACTCCTTGTCCTATCACTACACTCCTTGATAAAATGTTCCTCTACTCTTTAGTCCTACATTACCTCTGCTAATGTACTTCATTAAAAGAAAAAGTGTCTCTTAGATTCTTTCTGGTATTTTTTACTGCCTGGCTGAACCCAAGGACCTGCCATGTTCGCCCTGTGTTACCAGGGCTCTGAAACCCACCCAACTTGGTGTTCAGCAGGGTCATTCTCCTTCTCTTCCTCCCTCTCCTATGAGTGCATGGAAAGCTTTGCTGCTCACCAGAAATGATGTCTTATCACTGCTCCATGGAATTTCAATGTGTATTTATTATGTGTGTGCAAAAGCTGGACTTTACTTGGCTGGGGCATGCAGGCTCAGTGCTTGCTGGTGGATGGAGACATATTCCAGTCCCTCTGGGTAGGTTTTCTTTGTAGAGCAGGCAAGAGGTAGACTTGTGGCAAACAACATTACCCGTAAGTAATTTTCCCTTACTTTATATAAGCAAATGCCTTTGATATACAACAATCCCCAATGTGTTCAGGTTACATGCTTATTTTAAGATCTTTTGTTTACTTTATGATCTTCATAGGTCATTGACATCCCATTTAGCTCTAGTGACCCTGTTTATACAATTGCAATATACATTAAAAAGCGTTCCTTTGGATAACATTAACATTCTTGATCTTAATCCATCACATGGGCTAACAATAGCTCCAGCTCAGATGTGTACGTAACTGTTAAAAGCTTTAATGTAGAATCCAATACACATATCGAGTGGGAGAGGCCTGATCAAACAGATTAGCTTTCTTTTTTCCATTCTAAGTGGTAGAGAATCCAGAATTATGTAAACTCTTGTGAAATGCACTGGAGGATCCCTCCAGCCACCACTCAGAGCAATTACATTCCCTTGAATGTAGAGCTTTTTCTTCCCCTCTCTTCAATGTGTAATGCTGTGGTTGAAGCACTCAACCGTGACCACCTCCAGGAGCTGTGGTCCCTGTTCTCTTGCTCCCTGAAAACCCAAGTCAGTGCCAGCATGGCACTGAATAAGCTGCCCTGGCCGAGGAGCAAACCTTGCCTTAAGGCGGCCATTTCCTGTGTCTGATAGGCCAGCAGCACTTCCTAGCAAACTCACTGGGAAGCTATGTTACCCATTGCAAGTTTCTTAGCTGTTTCTCTACTCCTGGCCACTCTATCCTGTATCTGCATTAGGGACAGCTGGAAGGACCCTATAGCATATGAGTTTTGAAAGAGGCCTTGGCTTTCTCTGGAGCTGTCCTATCTGAAAGATCAAAAAAATCAAAAATATCTCCACCTCCTGCAAAATGCTGTGGCTGCCTCCAGCAACAGAGATCATAGATACGCGTGCAGTAACTCCTCTAGAAATCAGCAGGACTATAGGAGGATCAGACAGATTGCCTTAAAACCACCCAGAAACCAAACACCGTCCTCTTAATTCTGAGGCAGCAGTGACTCTTGGGTGGCATCATGGCAGCAGTGTCAAGTCACAAAGATGAGAAAGCCTGTGAAAAGGAGAGTCTGATACTTTTTATTTTTACTGGTCCTGACAATAATACAACAGATCAACACACTGTGGGATGAGAACAACACCCATTAAAAATCTGTTCTTTTTCCCAGCGTTTGGATCTGGCTGGTTTAAGAGGACTGGATTCCAAGTAGGGCCTTGCATGTCAGTCTTTAGACCCTGCTAGATTTATGGCCATCCCAGGAATAGTTGCAGAGGTAAAGGGCTGGACAAGTGGTCTCTGTAGGCCTCTTCCAGCAACCTTTCTTGTAGTGCTGCTTTTGCAATAGCTCAAATTGTTTGGGAAATATCCACTTTCCAAGCTTGATGGAAGTCGTAGAATGTGGCAATGAGATGGCTCTTCTTTCTGCCTTTTTTTTTTTCCCCCATTCCTCCATAGGTTCAGAAAATGACACTTTGGCAGACACATTAATGTCTTTTGGGCTCAGCCCATATTTCCCAGGAGACTGGGTTCAATTGCAGGGTAAAAGGAGGGGGAAAAAAAAAAAAGTAATAAGGAAAGATCTGACCCAGTTGCCATGACACACCAAAGGCAGGACAAACACTCCAAAGAGGACGTCACATGAGGAGAAGAGAGAGCAGTAGAGAGAGGTGTATGACACGTCCCTGGGTCAGATGGTCACTGCTATGGCTCCAGCACCTTTAAGCTATGTCAGCTGTCCCACCACCAGACCCATTGTCACGTCATGTATTCCTGGGGAATTGGAGCAGTATTTGGGAAACTCAGGTGATGACTGACTGCAGAAACCGGGCTTCGGGGGGAGACTGCCAGCACTCACACTCAGCCGCTCTCTTTTTAGGAGCGTGAAGCCAAAGGGCAATTGATATCATTCCTCAGGAGGCTTTTGCCTTTTTTTTTCTGTAAGTATAGGTGATTTTACTCCCTGAGCACTGCAATTGGTGCCAGGCAACTCCAGTGCTGTGAGCGTTTCAGGCATGAAGATCTTTCTTATAAGCAAGCAGTTGTTCTCTCTCTACCTTATTTGTTGGTTTGTGATTCTTCTGGATATGAACAAAAGCTTGGTTCAAATTGCTTGGTATTAAAGTCTGATTAAAATAGAACCTCTAACTTGAACAAAATGTATCCATTCTTTCAGGCAGACAGGATGCGTACCATCCATCCCAGAGCAAACTGAACCCCAAATTTCAACAAGGGTGAGCTCCCCTGAATTCATGTACAGGATTTTTGTGGCCAATGATACATCAAGAGGTGAAAGTGCTAAAACCCCCAGTTCTTCCCTTGAAGGGCCAGGTTCCCACTGGAGACGTTCCAGATGTGGGCATGCTGTTCCAGCAAAAGACTTGGGCATCAGTGCATATTTTAGTAGCTGCATCAATGTTCTTGTGGGAATCAGGTATGGGGACATGGCATGGGGAGAGCTGTTGAGGCCCCCAGTTTCACTCCAGAAATGATAAGCATCACCAAGATTGTTCTGGCTTTCACAGAGATGTTCAGTTTTTAAGCAAACAGAGAGCAGAGGCAACCTCTGTGGAATGGGAAATGAACCTGCCACTTTGTCTTTGCCAAAACCACATTTAAAAACCTTTCTATAAACCAGTTTCACAGAACTCTCTTCAACACCTTCAAGCTGCCTGAACCACAATATTATTTAAGATCCCCCCCTTCCTTTTTTTTTTTTTTTTTTTTTTTTTTTTTTTTTTTTTTTTTTGGCAACTGCCACCAAGCAAAATAAACAATCTGATGCTGAAAGGCTTCCCCCACTTCACACAAGAAAGGAAGAGCAGCAAATCACGGCGGTGTCTGGCTCTGAACTCCCTGGTAAGTTCTGGGACATTTTTACTGACAGCACTTTCTCAAGGAAGGTGTGAACAGCAGTGGAAGAGCTCCTTATAAATCTGGAGAGTCCACCCCCTCTGCAAGCTGAGCTCTCCAAAATACCAGTGCCTATTTTCAGCCACGTGACTCGGCAGCTATTGACAAAATTCGCTGCAGCTGAAGAAATGAAGATGCTTTTGAAGCCAGTGAACATTCCTCAAGATGTTTTCCTTCCTGCACACACACACACACGACCGGTGAGACAAAGCGAGAGGAAAAGCAAGAGAAGCACAGCCGTTTTTGGCGATGGTTTCAGACGTTTATATTGGAATGTGAACATTTTCACTACCATCCTAGCTTCTCCTTCTGCTCGCTGCTACAGGGAACAGCATTTGGATGGCACTGCACTCTGCTGCTGTAATGATGGGGATGTCACTAATTTACCATTTAGACTTCACTGACTATAAAACAGGAGGAGGAAATGGGCTGTGAGTATGATAAGGAGCAAACTGCGTCTGGAACACAAATACACTTGAAAACTGGGAGGGAAAAGGGGAAATTAGAAACGATTAGCTAACTGCATCTCTCCAGCAACCAGCATCATGGTGAACGTGCAGGACGTTTGGAGGGCCACCAGCTGCTGACCCCTAGGATTTTGGTCAGGTTGGACATCCCTGTGGCATTTCCGTGCTTTGCAAGTTGCACTTAGACATCATAGGCCTTTTCACAGATCTACCCATTTTTGCCTCTGAGACCCTCTAATGCTTCTGAAGCTCAGGAAATTGTTGTAGGCATTGATTTAAATTAGAGCTTAAAGCCCTGATTGAACAGTGACACCTTCCTAAAATCTGGTTTTTTAGAGCATGAGGATAACCCTGTTAGGGGCAGAAAGAAATGCAATGGGAATGCAGAACCCATTCAATAATATTTTCTGATAAAAGGGAGCAGAGAATGGAGAGAAGGCTCAGCCCTCAGCTCTTGCTCAGGCCAAGCCTCAAGCTCAAAGATATCAAAGAGTTTTTTTCAAGTTTGCCTGCATGGAGGAAACAGTTGCATCAGAAAATACCAAAAAGCCACACCTCTCAGCCTCTATTCATCTGGAAGGCAGGAGATTTGAATGCAAACTGAGCTCAGACAGAAATCTGAGATGAACAGCAAGGGGCTGCTGACACCAAGCCCCCAGTGCCCACCTGTCTCCTACTCACTCCCCATGTAAAGCCAGATGCAACTTTGGGGGCTGCCCAGCCCTCTAGGGCTGGGGGTGAGGTTCCCAGGCTGGGAGGCCCTACCCTCATCTTGGATGTGCTCTCCAAACTCAAAGCACCTTTGCGAAACCTCCAGAGTGTTTCCTGAAGCTCCCCAGAACCTGCCAGAATTCCTACATATTTTCCAGGGAACCCAAATTCACCCAGACTGGAGTGTGAAATCTTATTTTCCAGTTCTTTGCTCATATTTAATGAGCCGTCTCCTGTGTAACCTCCCTCGGAGAACATTTTGAAGTACCATGTACTTCCTTCCCCCTCCTCAACCAGCGCAGCCGGCCTCTGGCACAAACCCTGACACCTATATTCCCAAACTCTGTTGCCAGCATTCAGTACAACTCAGATACAGGCTGTGTTGGCCTTCTTGTCAGAGGAAGAACCCCAAAAAAAGGTCAGAAGTGCAGCAAAGGGCACCTACCCTGCTGCTTCTTTGGGAGCAATCCAAGCTTAGTGTGAGCTGCTGCTTGTGCTGAAGAGTCTCTGGGAGCCTCAACGACTCTGCCCCTAAAGTAATGCTCCATTTTCCCCCTAACTACTACTGACTGATTAAATGAACCTCGGCGTACAGCAGGTCTTTGCTGCTGTTGTTATTTTCTGCTTTACTGTTTTTTGGATAAGATATACTTAGGGAAAACACTAGAGATCTCAATTAAGCAGCTGGGTGACTTATAAATATATATTTATGTTTGAAGCCTAAGTGGCCATTGGCTTCCCTACTGTTTTACTTAGCTAACAAAACAACTCTATCAAAGTAAGTATTATTCCAAAACCCAACTTCCTGTGCAGAATGCTCCCATGTGCTCCATCAGTCTGCTTCTCTGATGAACTACATCGTTTCTTATAAACTGTCCATGGCCCATAAATTTCCAAGCATAAAGGCTATTACTGTGCTGTGCAAATCTGCTGAGAATTTTATCCTTATAACTTCATTTCATTCAGTTGCAAATGAGTTTGGTAAGAAAGTTAATCTGCAAACTTTTTTTTTTTCCCCCTCCTCTTCTGCTTTCAGTGTTATTTTGATTAGTGACACTCACTTGATTTAGTCCTGAGGTGGGTTTTGTTTTGACTGAGCTCAGTTCATCAGCCTCTGCCTCAAATTAGCTCCCTTACACTCAGGAAAAAAACATCTCAAGTGTTCCTTTTCCTCAAAATCTAACAAACAAAATTCAGAATAAATGGCAGGTAGAAGCAGATCCGAGTTTTGTTTTGGGCCACCTAGTAATAAATACTGCAAAGCGAGCACATTTTGTGAGCTGAATAGAAGACCCACAGGTATACTCTATAAAAAATGTTTTTTTTTCCTTTCCATCCCCAGCCTCAGTGAAGTGGGAAACTGAGGATTCTTTTTGTGTGTGCATGCAGATGGAAACCTCTTACTCATGTTTTGCTTGTTTTAGCTCTCGCGATTGCCTGTTTACTTTAGGACTCCTGTTGTCATGTGGAACAGACAAATCTTCAAACAAATTGCAGTCAAAAAATAACTGGATTTGCTATTGGGTGCAGCACGAGGCTTGTTCTTCCCCTGGCTTGATTCCAATTTACGTAACAATACAAATTAGACTTGCTCAAGGCCATTGGAGAGGTAGGGGGGAAAAAGATGAAATAAGCCATAACTCTCACGGCTTTCTTCCTCTAAGTCCCAGGAGCAGCCAATCGCAAGCAATAAGGAAAAATAATGGGAATAGGGACTTTCTGATATCTTGATTCTGGAGACTTCATGACTACCTTGTACTAATTTGATTATGCTCAATTTAAGGGGATTTTATTGACAGATACCCCAGGAAATATGACTTGGAAACACTGTGCTACCTTGGGATATCACCAAACATTTGACATCGGGGAACTGAAACAAAAACAGATGTTTTAGGGAATAAGCAGCTTGAATATATCACTCATAAACCAATTAAAAGTTTCTGCAGCAAGCTGACATTTCCCATGAAGCAAGCAATGGGAGTAAACGCAAATCGGTTGGCTGCAAGCTACAGAGTAATTCCCAGCCACAGCCAATATTATTCCTTTTTTACTGCTTTGAAAGGGATGCTTGGCTTAAAAATAAATGCAAAGTGATAAGAAAACAACCTCACCTTGTCACTTCCTTACCTAGAACCTGCCTTTTCCCCTTCACACTTCCATTCTTTGCTCATTAAGCAAACAGCGAGATATTCCTGCTATTGTTGGGCTCTTTGGCAGGGACTCCAAAACAAGGCATGAAAATTGTTTCTGTTTGTTTCAGGTGGTTTTTTATCCCTAGGACGCTATTTTTTTTTCCCCTTTTGCAGACCCAAGCAAAAACATTTAAGCACGTGCTTAACTTTGAGCATTAAAAAGTCAATGGGATTTAAGCATGTGTTTAAAGGCAAACATATGCTTTAGAGCTGTACTGAATAGGAGTGGTTTATTGAATCAAGGCTATAGACAGGTTAATAAAATGGGTTAATATATGCAATCTGGAAACAAAAATTAAGCAACGTGTTTCTAGAATATTAACATTACAAGCACTGCCTCATTCTAACTCAATTCCCCAGATTACTGCTGGATTCGTAACGCCCTTGACGCTGTCAATCTCTCGTTTCTTGAAGAAATGCAGATTATTGTACCAGATTATAATCAGCTGACTAACACACAGCTCCATGCCAATGATTTTATCCAGAGCAATTCAGAACGATGTGATCTCACTTCAAAAGGAGCTCGTCCGCTAAAATTCATTTACAGAAAAACAAATCTTCCACATCTTTCCACAGCCGCATATCTACAATTCATAAATGCCCATGTGATGCGAATAAGGCGTAAAAGACACTGCACTGTTCTTCAGTATTTGCTCTGGAAGTGGATCCACATAGGCACTTGCTCTGTAACAAAAAAGGACGAGTTTGCGCTCTCAAGCATTTCTTCTCAGTAAATCCTAAAACCTACTGAGAATATTTAAGCCAAGAGTAAATAACGTGGTGTCATATACTCGCAGTATAGCGCAGTAACACTCCTCATTTTGACATCTGCCCAGACAGATGTTTAGAATGGAGTTCCTCGGATTCTTTCTTCTTCATTATTTATTTATTTATTTAAAGCTGGATGGAAAAAATCTGGGAATCATCTTTTATATCGAAGCTACTTAGTACAATTTAACTGTCAACAGTTTAATTCGTTCAAATGTAGCCTTACTGTGGAAGCCAACAACTCGCATAAGCCTTCCACCAAAAACGTGGGGAGGATAAAAAAAAAAAGAGAGCCTCCCAAAATTTAGCCAGCAAAATCCTGGCCCTACGGGTGATAGGGCCACGTTTACAGGACACACGAGGCGTAATGCTTTAAAAATCACAATGTTTACTGGCAAAATTATCTTCCCATGGGCAACCTCAACACTGATGCTTCATAGCCGTTTTGCCACTATTCTCCTTCTAACGGATGGCGCTGATTCTTCACCCGTTTTGCCCGTAAGTAACACCTCTGATAAACATCAACATGCATTCGTGCTTCAAGCAGTTACAGAGCGATCTTTTTATTACTCCCCACGTCTTGTGATTTCTGGGTTTGAGATTCATGTTGAAACGTGCACATTACCACATGCTGACTGCCAAATTCATTACAATGTAGATCATGTTTTAGTGATATTCCTTTAAACAAAGTTAGTTTGATTTTTAAGTGCTTGTTGGTTAGCTTATTTATTATGAAGATTTGTCAGGCAGCACAGTCAAGTTAATCAGTAACCAATAAAAGATTTAAGTTCAGAGATATAAACTGCTTGATTTATTACTCACAAAGGTTTTTGGCTCCTCAACAGGAACTGAGGAAAACATGTTGTTGCAGTTACTTTGGAAACCGATACCTTTTTATACCCTACTAATAGAGAGGAATCTGAGAGGGGAACCTACGGTTCCCAGTTACGCGAACAGCATTTTCCATGCTATGCAAATACAGCCACAACACAACTTGCCTCGTTAGGCAACCCCGCCAGGGACTCAGGGATCTGTTTCGCCCTTCGCATCAGCAGCTCTATCTCGCTCTGTGTGCGTTGCTTCCTTGCTAATAATTTTTGCAATCTTTAACAAAAATCGATCTGACCGCACTGTTTTCCAAGCAAAGGTGCCATCTGAAGGGTACTTACAGCAGCAGTGTTGCATTACAATCTTCTCCATTATGTAAATCCCAAAGAAGAAAATCGCAATGTCAAATACAGTTAAAATTGAACATAAACTATCCCGCTGTAATTTTTTTTATCCTACTGAGCACGTCACCCAATCTCACTCCGCAGCTGCTCTGGTGAATGTTAAGCAAGTTTTTCCCCTACTCGTGGTCTATGAGCTGAGCACACGGAGTAGCGTCAGCACAGGCTGCCTGGGATAGGCACTGAGCAGGGCTTTCCAAAGGCCAGCATCATTTTGGTTCAGGGTGACTGAGGCAAGTTTTCAAAAGCTACTTGGGCACTAAAGCCCAAGTGAGAAATTCTGGGGATGTTTAACCTGAATTTACACTTTGGTTTTAAGATCTCACGGAACCAGATACAGTCAAATACAACTGAAACTGGACTGCGAGCATCTCTGCCCATCCTATATGCACCAAATAGAGCATGGATGTCTCAACTCCACACAAAAACACTCAGCTTTCCTTCTGAGAGACAACATCCACCTCCCCAGCTATTCAGACACAAGTGCTTCTATGTCAGTCAGTCCAAACGGTTCATCAAACTCATACTTATGTTCATAACATTATACCAGCAAAAGCACCGGCTCTCCCCCAACCCCTTCAGGCTCCAGCTCTGCTTTTGACCCTCCACACACACAAAGCAGCTCACAGTGTCCCCACGCATGTAGATTACCAAATAAATGATGGCCAAGTGTGAAGTGCGGGGTCAAACGTGCTCTCCATCAAGGCGTTATGATGACATCACCATAAACCCAGAGGGCAAAGCTCTGTTGGCTCATGATGTCACCAGCAGGCTCCTCCAGGTTGCTGCCATAGTTCATGGTCATTACTTTCTATCCACAGGAGGCATGCAGCTGAGCCTACCTCCCCAGCTTCCTCCAGCAGCTTTTTGGGGGTCAAAATGCACCCCTTGGGAAGCAACCAAGGAGGTTCATCAGCTGCAGCTCCTCCCACACATCCCACCAGCTGTGAGTCACTCATTCTCCTTTGCTCCCTGCATCCCAGAAGGGCTCTGATCCACATCAGCTTT